AACTAGGAACTAGGAACTAGGAACTAGGAACTAGGAACTAGGAACTAGGAACTAGGAACTAGGAACTAGGAGTTTTAAGCCAACGACCATTTTATTTACCCTAACCAGCTGTCAAATATCATTACAATATGTTCTATGTCATAGTTATTTTTAATGTCAATGAGTATGGATTCACATCTTTTGTTAAAGGTGGATTTCAAAGTCAACAAGAATACATTGCTTCTTTTGCTGAATAGGGAGCCGTAGGGGGGTTGGGTGGTGTAGGAAAATTAAAATAAATATTTAATAATAATTTGTTAAAAATAATAGGGTAGCTTAATATGAATAAGGGGTGAATATACGGGGGGTTGGCACTGGTTATGAATCATGAAAATATTTACTATTCGCCACATTTGGAGACGATTTCTTTCCACTGCACTGCTCGCACCCCAACACCAGTTAAAAAAACTCATCACGGTAAACTAGAGGTCCTAGTTGAATATTGGTTACGGTAAACTAGAGGTCCTGGTTTAAGGTCCAGCTAGTTTTAACTTTATAATCTAGTTTTACTCATTAAAGGGACTGTAAGCGTAATTTCAAGAGGGCAATGTCCGATTCACAAGAATACTCTTAAAAGCTTTGTCTGATCAAGTATAGAATTAGATATCAATCTTTATAATTTTGAAAACTGATTATTTCTAATTGTGGTTTCATTGTACATTACTACTGCAGGGAAACATAAAGGAATTATTAGATTTAAACACTAGAAACTAAAAGCTAAGAAAAGTTGTCAAGGGTTCTGTTGTGAATTGGGAATTGCCATCTTTCCATTGTTGGATCACATGAAATTAAACTCAGACCAGTCTCTTTAAATGTAGGTTTTTATCTTTTTGCTATTTTAGAACTTTTTTCTTCATGATGTATTTTATATTTAAGTTTGAAGAACTAACTCAATTTCGCGTAAATTCTGGATTTTGCATAAAGTTTGTATATGTTTGAATTAAACGAGAAGGAAATAATGATCAAAGTTGTATTCTGAGAAAGACTAACGAACAAAGGTATATAAACCTCTATATATAGTTCTAATTAAACTATTATTATACTCCAGCAAATAATGATCAAGCTTGGGTTTCCTGTATTTAGTTCAGTCAACTCTGATGATCTAGCTTGGGTTTCCTTCATTTGGTTCAGTCAATTCTGATGATCTAGCTTGGGTTTCCTTCATTTGGTCAGTCAATTCTGATGATCTAGCTTGGGTTTCCTTCATTTAGTTCAGTCAATTCTGATGATCTAGCTTGGGTTTCCTTCATTTGGTTCAGTCAATTCTGATGATCTAGCTTGGGTTTCCTGTATTTGGTTCAGTCAATTCTGATAATCTAGCTTGGGTTTCCTGTATTTGGTTCAGTCAATTCTGATGATCTAGCTTGGGTTTCCTGTATTTGGTTCAGTCAATTCTGATAATCTAGCTTGGGTTTCCTTCATTTGGTTCAGTCAACTCTGATGATCTAGCTTGGGTGTAATCCAAAAACTATAACTCAATATATCAATAGTGAATTTTACAAAATTTTATGATTATTTCTTCTCGAATTTTATGTTTTTGCAGTCTACCGTGCGAATTTAGATTTTCAACATTTCGTACACCGTTCGAAACACAAATATTCTATGAATCCCTTTGATTTTGCAACCAAACGTCGTAGACCTTTGATATTTCAAACTAGCATTCAGATCAAATATACTAAGTTTTAAATATCAAATATTTACGCCACCATGTTGCAAAATAATAAAGGTTATAGAAAATTTGAGTTTGTGGCAAAGACTCAATTCTTTTCACGTAAGATTAAAGTCGAGTATATATCCTTTAACAATACTTCCATTTAAAAAAGCTCTTGACAAAAATAAAAATTAGAACTTCTAAAACTCATTTTCCAATTTTTATAGGAGTTCTATAGAATGTTGTATGTATCGGTTTAAATGCTGTT